TTTCTAAACCAAGCACACTATTGAGCTTAAAAGTTGTAAACAGATTTAAGTTTAGATCCCCTTATGCCTTGTGAGGATAAAAATTTTCGTGGCTCTTTAGTTTTGGATTTTGGAATTTGATGACGTCACGTGAAAACGATCTATACACATATGGGTTATCATTTTGATCAGCTATTTGCTGATGGTTGTGAAATTCATTGGGATTTGATTCTCATATTCAGATCTCTGTTCTTTGAAATTTAAAACTAGCTGGATAATAAAATAAAATAAGTTTTCAAAAGACAGGAATTGTGTAGTGCCGCAATAATAAAAGCAATTCTTTACACAGACCTGTGGGTTGGATAACCTCTGGTCCCTGCTGGGCAGTAATAACCAGCAGGACAAGGTGGACATCCTGCAGCTTCACTTGGGGCACCAGTGACATTACCATATGTACCAGCTGGGCAGGCAACCTCTCGCAAGCCATCAGGACAATAGTAACCCAATGAACATAACCCTGATGGTGGTGTTGGAGATGTGTCAGATCCTTTACAGGCATAGCCTGCTTCACAGTCGGAGCAGACAGTGGCTGATAAGTTGCTGTAGGTACCAGCAGCACATGGTAATGGCACTGCATCTTTCCTGGTGGTATCACAGTAATGTCCAGCTGGGCATTCTATGCAGCTGGTTGCAAAACCCAAGCTGTAAGACCCATCGGGGCATTCAATGGGTGAGCTTGTAATGTTTGGACAGAAGGATCCAGCTGGACATTGTGTACAAGCCTAACACGAAACAAACATGGTAAGTTACAATAATTGACAGCTTGTGTAGAAAACATGCTCATGGATCTCTCGGACACAGCCTGTGTCACAGGGCATGTAAAAATTGAATGATTTAATGTCACTTTTTATTTTTACTGTCTGATCTCCAGATATTATACATTAATTTTATACTCCCTCTGTCCGGTGCAACACTGTCAGGAACCAATTTTCATAAACACATTTCACTGACCAAGTCAATTTTCTTAAATTTTAATAAAAGATTTAAATAAACAGTTATTTTAAGCTGGAGCTTATTATTTCTTGCATTATAGCCTTGTCAGTTGAAGGGCTGCAGGACAGTTTTGTTTAAATAGTACCAACCATGGAATAATACTTTACCAAACCTTAAAAAAGTAATTTTACTTTCAGTGGTGGAAATAATACAAAATGTTGAATAATTATGTGATTAAAATTAATATTATTGTTAGGGCCTGGCCATGTCTTGGCCATGGCCAGGAACCCATGGTCTATTCCAGTTCTACATTCATGAATACAAACCATATCACTGAATTGTCTTAAGTATTAATCACTTAGTTAAAGTAACTGTGTGACTCAAACAAAGTTTGCAGTCTTTTTGTAAGAACCAAATCTGAATGCACATCCAGCTATATTGGCAAGTTTTAGTTTTTAATTGAAATAAACTTCCACAGTGTCCTATCTGTTATGACAAGCGTAATTGTGTGTTTTTGTTTTAGGTTTCATAGAAACATGCAACAAAGAATTGTTTATAGTGTGTGAACCCTAAATCAGAATTAGTATATACATGTAAAAGCGACTACTTAAAGGAACTTGGAACTATGTTAAGCTTTAGATGACTGTCACTTGTCGTCCTAAAATGGCAATTTAAAGCTATAATATATATATATATGATATCACATGCCCACTTGTGGATACGAATTTTATCTTCTCATGTTCAACTCAATATCTCACGAGTGAGCACAGAACATGAGTGAGATATTGAGTTGAACATGAGAAGATAAAATTCGTATCCACAAGCAGGCATGTAATATTCTATTTATTATATGAACATACTAATGACAACGTTTTGACGATTTTCTGATGATTTCTGACCACTTTTCGAAGATTTCTGAAGATTTTCCAAATTGTTCCGAAGGCCGGACGAACGCTTCTGAACATTTTCCAAAGATTACCGAAGATTGCGAAGACGACCGAAGAAGATCCAAAGATGTTTTGATCATACATCAAGAAATTTAAGTGTAGTTAAAGGGACAGAAGAAAAATGTCATCAAAAAGGAATGATATCTTCACTGCATGCGAGGAAGATATGATTTTTTTGTAAAAGGAAAACTCCTGGTGTTTCACTGGTGTTTATATAATAAAGATAGATCTGTTTCAAAACAATGTTTTGATAAAAGAGGTTTGATGGTTATTCATAGTTATTTTATTACCTGTTACTTTTTATTTATTAATATTATTGAATGTTTTTACTTTTACCGCTGTTTATACTCACACCAGATTTAGGAAGAGACAATGAGCTACCATTTAATCTCCCACCTCCCTGCTAGCAAAATATAAAGTTCAATTTAAAAAGCATTAGTTTAACGTGAAGCTGTTTACATTATTATGTTGTTTGTTTCTTATCATTTCATAAGTAAGCACAATTGACATTTTACTTCTATGCTAAATAAGCTGTAAAGGAGCAACAAACACCTAAAAGCTTATAGAGTTACATTACAATATTCATCAAATGTTATTTGTAAGTAATAGAAAGTAAATGCAGTATATTAAAAGCAGTCCATGCTTAATTACAATGTTGAACAAAACCAAGAGACATGAAGATATCAGGGTACAAAAGTGCAAAATACGGTGGGCATCAAAACTTGTTGTGATTGAATACCAAACTTTGTTAAGTTGACAGATATGTTAGACAAATGTTTACACTTTACATACATTGGTTGACACTAAATTATCTTTACTTAGCCATAAAAAAAATTAAGATTAGTTGCAAAAACATGTCTGTAAAACAGCTCACTCCCGGGGAACAAAATAAAAATACACACCCAAACTTTAAAAATTGGATGCATGGACAATCACATTTGATAGCCACTTAGCCCTGGACTTGCTGCCCATGTTCACACCTGGTTGCTAAACAGGTTAATATATTAATTTTAAAACAACAAGAATACCAATAATTTTAAGTTTCCTTAATTTTCTCTTTATGTTTTTTTTTTATGATTTATGATTGTTACAACATTTGCCTTCAACAAGGACAGGTATCCCTCTTCAAGCTACAATGACTACTTTGTGAACATTTTCCACCATGTTTTCACAAAATAATAGTATTTAGAAAATAGCCCAAAGAAAATACATGCGTTAAAATCATGTTTATGTAACTCAATAGAAACACAGAACTAGCACAAGCTGTCGACATAATGATGGCGTGAGCAAAGAGAATTTAAATTCTGATGATCAAAGTAAACAAATTGTTTTCTTTTTTTGGTCACGGAAGTAGAAAACATGTTCTTCCTGTTTCTACTGAGTTATAGAAACACTTGTGGAAGTTTGTGAGAACTTGAAAGTGCTGTGGAAACACTCGCCTGAGTCAAATATCACACATAGAAATCGAGAGCGAATAATCAAGTATTGTTTTAGTATAGATCTACTGGTCGTTCAAAACTTTATCTAAATCCTATTCACAGACACTTCAAAAATGCCAAGAAGTGGCTGTCATTTTGTTAACAAGCACACACTGCTACGCTACTCACTATCTTTCACAAAATAGATAGTGAGTAGTGTAGCTAATCAGAGAGCAGTATTTGTGATAGAACCCTAGCAGAGTTATACTAAAACTTGATAGAAACAAAGGCATGTTTTCCATTTCTTAAATAATTTTAACAAAGGGATTTAGAGTGGGACAAACCTGAGCCAAACCGAGAGTGTAGTAGCCTGCTGAGCACTGTATTCGAAAGTCATCTGTTTTAGAAGGACATGCATATCCAGCTGGACACTCAGTACAGTTCTGCTGGCCTCCTTTACTGTATGTTCCATCTAAACACTCTATCTCTTGACTTGATGAGGTACTTGGACAATGAAACCCTGGTGGACACCATGTACAAGACTACAAAGAAACAAGTTTGACTAAAATATAGTTGAAGTCTCAGAACATTTTGTGAGGGTAAGTACAGATCTGGCTTAGGGTACATGTCCTGGGAGGACTCCTATATGAAAAGGACAGGGTTGCTCATCAGAAAATTTGAATTAAACCCCTAAAGGAGACTAATCTGGGTGTGGCTCGAGCTTTCTTTGACTCCTAAAAGACACCACTTAAAATGGAATAGGATTGATTACAAGATGCTGATCAGGTAAGGAGCCTATACTAGTAGACTGGACTCAACAGAGCAATAGTAATGGTAATCGTCCCAAATAATGGAAATAACAGCATCTTTGAGTGTGCCGTGAAAGACTCTTTGACAGCTAAAAATAATGGCATTTCATCCTGAACACCTTAAGTGAGACCAGAATCCTTGATTTAAACATGTATACCCCTAAGTTAGACGATGACCATCATTACCTTTTCTTATTATATGGCTAGCTCTGTGAGCGGGCAAGATGAATCAAATCCTGCACTGTGATTGGCTACCCAAGCGGGCAAGATGGAGCTATCTTGCC